GTCTACAAAGCTTGTTCAAATAAAAGCCCTGGAGTCAAAATTGGCCCGTCTTGGGGGTCATTGCTTTTCCTTATATGTGTAAGCAAAAATTTAAAAATCTTCTTTGAAAAAACCCAGATAGCTAGAGTTAAGATATTAAGCATGAAACATCTTCTGGTAAATGTCTACAAAGTTTGTTCAAATAAAAGCCCTGGGGTCAAAATTGGCCCCGCCACATGGGTGGGGTGGAGAGGAGTGAAGGGGGAGCAGAGGTCATTGTTTTTTTATTATATGTTTGTAGTAAAAAGTTAATATTATGAAACATCTTCTAATGGGTGTCTTCCAAGTTTGTTCAAGTAAAAGCCCTGGGGTTTAAACTGGCCCCGCTCCAGGGGCCTATATACAGGTGAGCGACCTCAGGGCCATCATGGACCTCTTGTTTCAGTTACCATTGTTTTTATGTTAACAATGTTAAATATTTATTGTTTAATGATGAAATGAAGAGTATATTTCTACGATAAATGCCACAAAAATAACCCATTGAAAAATTGCGATATAAAATATCAATAAATCTTCCTCTTTCGGTTTTGAACACAAAAGAAAACGAAAATTGAGTCCTTTAAAATTTCCTTATATTAATTTACACCATTATACATGTCATTTATGACAATGCGGTATAGAAATATTACAAACGTAGAATAATTGCATTATGTTTAGATAACTTGACAACTACCAATTAGAATATTTAAAAAAATATTTTTAAAAGTCAAAACCGTAGAAACTGACCTACATGTAATACTTGCTTCACTTGCTTCATAGATGTATTTTTGTTGGAATTGAAAGTGTTTCAACTTGAAACGATTTCTACTGTTATAATTCTTATGTTATGGTCTTTATAATTCGTCACAATTTAAGCTTAAGACGAAACTTCATGTACAATTTTATGCAAAATAAACAGAAATATTAGACTACATGAACCCATGATAATCAAATATAAATTATCAAGATATATAAAACTTACTTTTAAATATTTAACTGTGTGTGATATGATAATGATGGTAATAAATTCTTCCAAGACGAAGGCATAAAATTTCCTTCCTAATTTCACTATCAATCTGCGGCTAGATAACTCTTTAAACATGAGTATCTACATGATTAATTAAAGCATTAACTCCCTTGGATATCCAGAAACACATGCAAAATGGTTAAACTTGACGAAGGTAGGATGATTACCTCCGAGCATTATTTCTCCGACCATTCGTAAATAAGCTGAAATGCTTATGATAGATTTGCAAATATTCCAAAGCCAATGTAAAGTTTAACATGTATTGCATAGATGAATGAAATTCTAAAATAATGACATAAAATAATGACCTTGTTTGTATTTTATGTTTACTATTTGTATGATTATCATTGTGTAAATGAATGAGACTCAAATAGAAACAAAATAATAGTTGACTTGTTTATCAACTCACTATTGCACAACTTCATTACTTATTAAAATATTGATTATTGACAATATCTTATTATTTTACGTGTCTTGCATGGTGTGATTTTCAGAGGAAAAGAAAAAATATAATACATTAGTTTTATGTCTATAATACTTGAGTTAATGTGGAACAGTTTCGCCTTAAAGTGAATGTGTTTGTATTTATTTAAAGGAATGTATATAGACTTAAAAATGATTAACACTTGATAATAATGAATTGAATAAATAGATAATTAAAGAATATTTTAGCATCGCATAAACAGATTTGAATCAATAGATAATTAAAGAATATTTTAGCATCGCATAAACAGATAATTCTTACACAATTGAAAAACTATGTAAAAGAGGAATTACTGTTTCATGTTCAGCAATCCTATATACTAGTAATTCATTATTTTTAGATTTTTGTGATTACAAACACTTTTTATGTCCGATCACTGTATCATATATTTATAGTTAAAATAATTTTATTCGAGATCTTTCCCTTTGATAGTTTTATATCAGCAGTCGCGTTAAAATTAGTTTTATATCAGCAGTCGCGTTAAAATGTTTGAAGAAAAGTTCTCAATAAAATTCACACAGAAAACATTTAATTCAAATGACTGTTAGCCAAATTAGACTAGCATTGCAATAGAAAAACAATTTCTATGTGTTTTACAGACACATGCTAGTGCTTGACCTTTCCTGAAACCTCTAGAGAAAGCTGAAACCCCTGATTATATGATTACATCAAGTTTCCTATGGGTAAGTGACATATGTATTTTCTTTGTTATCCTTTCTCATGCTCTTTTCCTTGCTACATTATGAAGTTAACTTTTCTTGCTTTAAATTCAGAACATTTTTATATTTTGTAACATTTAAGGGTTTCTAGGATGTCATGATCCTAAGCTTCTGTTCTAAAGTTTTATCATGAATGCTCACTTGACTTTTACTCAGGTGCCTGAAAAATTACACGGAAGGACACCTGATGTTTTCGTTTACCAATGTTGCCATATCACCTTTACATTGTCAGTGTGAGTTAAAACATAACCAAAATTAATTGATCGATCATTAATATTTTCAGAACATATTTTTCAACCCTCTTTTAAAGGACAACTTTTGCATTACAAATGTAAAATGTAGAGCTTTAAGAAAAAAATATCTTTTTGTAGATTTTATGTTATGTATTGATTATAAATTGACTTTAAAACAATTGCAAATTCTATTTATAGATCTTAGAACAATGGGAGATCGTTTAAAGAACAGATATTACGTTCACAAGAAATTATTCATGGCCGACATGATGAGAATTTTCACAAATTGTCGGTCTTATAACAAACCTGATACAGAGTATTATAAATGTGCCAACACCATGGAAAGATTCTTCAACAATAAACTCAAAGAATTTTCTCTGATTGACAGATGATGAATCATTATTTTTTCTTTAGACATTTGTCGTGAAGCTTTAGGTGTTCAGGTAGTTTCAAAGGTCGTCAAGTTTGTAATAAGACTGGACCTTAAATCAGTTAACTTGAAAACAATAAAGTGTTAAAAAAGAAAGAGTTATTAACTCCATCTATTATCTTTGTTAAGTTTAACAGACAGTAATTTCATTCATTGAAGTCATACTTAAGTTATTAGCTTTAGATTAAAAACCTAAAAAAGATATATTTAGACTTTGAAATGTGTTAACTTGAATGGATGATGCACGTTTGACTTCATTAAACTATAAAAAAGATGAAAGTTTAACTTGAAATTGTATCAAGTTTGATAACACTGATATAAATTACTGCTGCTTTAGACCTCTGGTTTTAGTCAAATATTAAATAGCTGTTGATTCAAGCTATAACATGAGAAGTGTAAATTGGTAGAGATTGAAATATTAGAGACAGACTGGTGTGAAAAGACATATGCACAAGTCTCCAGAAAGAAAAAGGAGGGTGCATTGTTTCACAGAAAAATGTGATAGCTTCTTCTATAAGGGTATTTTTAGAATGTGGGTACAACTGAATGCTGTAAAATGATGGTACTTGCATTCAGTGGTTGAACATCTGATGAGACATGTTTCTAGACAACTTTAAGTGTTTGGTGATAAAAGTCTAAAACTGGAGTGAACTATTTTCTTTGTTAAGGATATTTTTTTATGATTTCTACAAGATGTTGTGCATTTTTAAAATAATTTGAACTATGTTTTAATTAATGTACTTGTATACATTTCTAATCATTTTAATTATTTTTTGAAAGCCTGTCTCTGAGAAGAAGAAGAGCAATGCAGAAAGTATTTTTGTTTTAAATATTATACTTATATAAAAGTAAATTGATAAGTAGTGAATTAAACAAAATGACAAATTGCCAGTTTTTAGCTCACCTGTCACAAAGTGACAGGGTGAGCTTTTGTGATCGCTTTTCATCCGTCGTCCGTCCGTCCGTAAACTTTTACTTTAAATGACATCTCCTCATAAACCGCTAAGCCAATTTCATCCAAACTTCACAGGAATGTTCCTTTGGTGGTCACCTTTAAAAATTGTTCAAAGAATTTAATTCCATGCAGAACTCTGGTTGCCATGACAACCGAAAGAAAAAACTTTAAATATCTTTTTAAAAAACCACAAGAGCTAGAGCTTAGATATTTGGCATGAAACATCTTCTAGTGAGTGTCTACCAAGTTTGTTCAAATTAAAGCCCTGGGGTCAAAATTGGACCTGCCCCAGAGGGACATTGATTTTCCCTATATGCATATAGTAAAAACTTAAAAAATCTTCTTTTAAAGAACCCAGAGAGCTAGAGATAAGATATTTAGCATAAAACATGTTCTAATGGGTGTCTACCAAGTTTGTTCAAATAAAAGCCCTGGGGTCATATTGGCCCCGCCCCGGGGGGTCATTGATTTTCCCTATATGCATATAGTAAAAACTTTAAAAAATCTTCTTTTAAAGAAATCAAAGAGCTATGGCTAAGATATTGAGCATCAAACATGTTCTAATAGGTGTCTACCAAGTTTGTTCAAATAAAAGCCCTGGGCCAAAATTGGCCCCGCCCCAGGGGGTCATTGATTTTCCCTATATGCATATAGTAAAAACTTAAAAAATCTTCTTTTAAAGAACCCAATGAGCTAGAGCTTAGATGTTTAGCATGAAACATCTTCTTATGGGTGTCTACCAAGTTTGTGCAAATAAAAGCCCTTGGGTTGAAATTGGCCCTGCAACGTTGGGTAGGGGGGCCTATATACAGTTGAGCGACATCAGGGCCATCATGGCCCTCTTGTTTAATTAACCATTTACCATCTTGAACAAAAAGTGTTAAGCCTCAGCCACCAGTATAGAGCCAAGCCAGCATGCACATCTTTTCAGTCTGACCAGACACTGTTTTACTGATAGCTTAACATTTTTAGTTTTGAATATTTTTGTACTGAAATCAGAGAAACTTACATTAATGTACTATTCTAACTCCAAAGCAAGTTCCAGTGTACAAATTTAGCATGATAAAGAAGAATCATTTATAAGATAACTGAATTAAAGAAAATGAATGATAATTATATAAATGTTATTACAACAATTCTAGTTTTTATCAAACTTGTCAGTTTTATAAGTGAAGGATAAAAACGAATATAAAGTAATGAGCACAGTAGAACTGGTTCAAAAAGTTTATTCTGAAAATATTACTTAGGAAATACATTAGCACAACAATATCAAGAATGCCATTCATGCAAAGTTATGAAACATGCAAAATTCTTTCTGTACTGTATAGGTATTTATAACGTTTTTACTGAATAGAAAACCACAGAACCCTATCACAATTTCTAATTTGGTAAGTTACATTATATACTGTTTTTTAATTGTATGTGCATTGTATATGATTGTGACAGAAATAAAGAATAATTTTTTCATTTGTTTTATGCAGCTCAAATTGAACAGTTATTTTCTAGTACAATTTCTTTGGTCGATTGTTCCGAGCAGACACACAATTTGATTTCCTTGAACCGAAGCCTATGTGTGAATAGTTCTATTTCAAAAATTCTGGGGGCGGGTGTCTGAGGTCTTTGACATGAAATCATGGCCTTCACAGTTGTGGTTTTTTATTCTGCCATGCACTTTAAATTCTGTCGCATAAGAGAGCTGTTCAGAAAGCTTACGGAAGCTATACATGTGCGTTCTCTGGCTGGGTTCCCGATCATACTTGATATGATGCACGATTCCTTACACAGATTTAAAACGCATAAAAACAACTAAAACAAAAACACCAAACACATTGCTAAGATATTGTATTTTCATCACTTTAATCCTTGGACAAATTATATTATACTGTTTCGTGTATTTAACAAAATTTAATATTAAGCTTATTATGATTTTATGATCACACTACAACTTTGGTTTGTTTGTTAAAATAGCGTTCTAGAATACAAAGATATAATTGCAAATTTACCGGACGTTTGTGGCAACATAACAAGAGACTACATTTTGGTTAAATGCACAATCAACATACTTTCTTACGTCTAATTCAAGCCAAGTCCTTTTACCTGTTAAGGGAACTTTGAACGTCTACATGTTTGACACATACTTACTCAGTAAATTACACATATGAAACTTTGCCGCATTATTTCTTTCTCTTTGTTGAAGGGAGAATATATAACAGTGTAATGCTCCCCTTGGTTTGTCCTCTTGTTCCATACATTGACCGAGAAGGTTGAGAGTTGTCTCCCTGTGGCCAAAGTTTCTTTCTGTAAAGATAACCTTCACAAGGTTACTAAGTGCCCGTTGTTGATCCTGGTGTCTTTGTAGATGACCGTATGTCTTGTACTGTAAAAAGTAGAGAAAAGGGAGGGAATCAACAATAGCATAGTCCATCCATAGCCTTTCTTCTAGACTTCTGTGTGGCATATCATCTGGTGTAGATCTCATCATTTCATATCGTAACTCTCTTGGAACACAATATACTTCTGACTGCAGAAATCTGACACAAAGTGATGCAATAGTATTGTTGCAATTTTCACTTACTTCACTGCATTTTTTTCTTAAATTCAGCACACGGATCTGTCATTGGATGAGACCAGCAGCCACATACAGGTTCAACAACAGTAGAGGTCGATCGGCTTTCAGTTTGTCTCAGTATGAACTCTGCTCTAGCCATATCACCTAAACAGTAAATGAAGCTAGTTTAAGTCTGCCAGATGTGACATCTGAGTTCAAACCCAATGTAAGCCACTTTAGTGCTTCATATTGAACTGGATTATTCTGTTCAATACTTGATGACGCCATGATTAGGCCTAGTGTAGAACAAAGAAATGGTGCCAAATAACGACTTGCAAGCTGTTCCAGTCTATTTCCATGTACACTGTAGTATGTTAGCTTTAAGATAATTTGTTTGTAATTACATATGTGGTCATTTGACAAATTATAGAACATTAGTACTAGGCTAGTGCTTACCCCTATCATGAAGCTGATGTAAAGATCACACGAAAAATGTTCAAATATTTCCAGTGAGGTTGGAAAATAACACGCAAAATGAACAATTGTACTCAGTTTGACTTGTAGTCTCTGGCTAATATCATCAATGCTTATTCGTAGTAAACATCTCCCATCGCTCTGTATTATGTCACATAATTTCTGTAAAACGTCTCGCTTCTCTTCAGCTGTAAATTGTCCGGCCATTAAGTTGTTATCAGAAATAATGAAATGCGGGCAATTTTCATTTTGAACATAGCTATGAAGTTCAAGCAAGCAGTATGATAAACATGTAAAAAGATTGTCCCTTTTCCATATGTTTTGTTCTGTATTTTCTATACAATGCAATAAAACGGTTTTGCACATAAAACTTGACAGAGCATTCACTGTGTGGGGATTCAGAAAATTTTTCAAAATAATTTTCATTAAAACATAGCATTGTAATTGCGTAATATTTAGATTGAACATCAAACATCTCTCTGCTAAAGAAGTAGATATTCTCCACTCGAAATCTGGATAAATAGCAATCTTGCTACTAGTACCAACAACAAAACAATCACAACTAGCAGCATATCTGATTCTTTCAGATGATAACCACCTCATAACACCGGGTCTTTCTAGGAAATGTGATACTGATCGAAGTTGTGAATTACAAGGGAAAGCAAATACAACGTCAATGTCGCGGTATCCATTTACCCCGGAGACAGCATTTGATGGCCCGTGTCTCTCAGTATTTTCTGGCATAATGCTTGTTCGGAATGTATTTCTTAATAATATTCTCCCAATGCTATCTCTAATGTAATGTTCATTAGGAATGTTTGTCTCAAAAAGTGGCTCATCAGATCGAAGTAATTGTAAAAAACAATACCCTGGTGTTACATTCTCATCCTGTATCATAAGAAGATTGATCTTATTATGTTTCCACTCTGACCAGTCCTGTATCACATTATAATTATAATCTACATGTACCATGTCAATATCTGATTTAAGTCCTATAGTAGTGGTACATTCAGACTGACTCCCAAGATAATACACTGTTATCTTTAAACCAGTTGATCTGGATGTAATCGTTCCTAAACTTTCCCTCAGCATGAACATTCTTCTTCTTTTCATCACCATTTTCTCATTTACACCAACATCCTCTAGTACCTCAGATAATTTCAGTGACAACGTTTTGCAATATTCAGGTGACTGAAACATTCTGTAATGATATGAAACAATGTATCCTTGTCAAAACATAAGAATCATGAATGAGTATATATTATGATGATATAAAGTAATTTTGCTGCTACCAGACATTAAACTTGTGTAAAATGTGATCTAAATTTTTATCAGTTATTCAAAAATGGAACATTGTATCTCTTCTTTATATTACCAGTGTTTTTTATGTTAATAAACATGTTAAATACTTGTTTTAATTATCTTTGATATAACAGATCTGATTTTAAAAATAACAAGATGAAGAGTAAAAGATTGCATTGATTATGTGAGTATTTTCCTAGTACGATATATGCCAAAACTAACCCATTAAAGAATGGTAATATAAAAATACCAAACAAACGTTTTACTTCCTCTTTCAGTTTTGAAAAAAAAAAACAGAAAACAAAAAAGAAGCAAAACTATTTGCTACTTTTAAAAACTCCTCATTATTGTTACGCATTTATTGACAATGAGGTATAGGAAATATTATTACATAGATACAATAAAAGCATTATGTGTTAAAAAATTCTACTTACAGTAAACAAGTACCAATTACAATATTTCTGAAAATTGATATTCAAAAATTAAAACTGTAGAAACTGACATGGGTTAAATAATTGCTTAACTTGCTTGTTAGATTTATTTTCTATCTGTACCACTTAGTAATGTTTCAACGTGAAATGGTTTCTATCGTGTTATTATCGATCACAATTCATTTATTACATCACAATTTAAGCTTTCAAAACTTCTGGAAAATAAACGAAAATTGTGGTATTAATGAATAAACGATAATTCGATATAAATTATTAGATATAAATTAAACTTACTTTTAATTGAAATGTATCAATTTTTCTGATATGTTTTTACGGAAAACGGTGATTTGGAAAATTTCCAATTTACACTTCCTCTTTCGATTTTCAATGCACGAAAAGTTAACTCTTGTAATATGAGTAACTACTCGGTTTCAGCTTTAACTCCCTTGGATATTCATCCTTTATTTATTTGTAAGGCCCTCTGAAAAAGAATCAAACATGTTAAAAACAGCTGAAGAAAGAGGCGAAAAGTTCTTATTGCTTCCGAGCATTATTTCAGCGACCATTTGTAAATTAAGCAATAGCGCTTATGATGAAGCTGTAAATATTCTTAAATGTAAAGTTTAAAATATATCGCATATGTATATATTATCTCTTTTAATTACAATATTATTAAGCATCTCTGCACGTGAATGCAAACACACATACACAGTAACCATCCGGTTTGAAAGATATTGCCGTTTTTGGTTGATTTTAATATCAGTTATAAGAACAACTGCAAATATGTTTTCATTAGTAAGGACTAATTTTACTCATTTCTACGGTGGCACAAAGGTGACATGTGTGCGTTTTTATTTATCTCGTGGCATCAAGATGCTATGTCGTGGCCACGAGTTACTAAGTCGTGGCCACGAGATAGCTAAGTCGTGACCACGAGATACTATGTCGTGGCCACGAGTTACTAAGTCGTGGTCACGAGATATAGTAACTCGTGGCCACAGATACTATGTCGTGGCCACGAGTTACTAAGTCGTGGTCACGAGATATAGTAACTCGTGGCCACAGATACTATTTCGTGGCCACGTGTAACTAAGTCGTGGCTACGAGATAAACGAGTTAAAAGACTGATGGGACAGTCAACCCTAGAAATACTTTATCTTCATTTTGAGACATCATCCAATAATTATCGAGGTATAATTTATTCTGAATATATGTTTAAAATTTATAAGACTTATTATGCTAATTTTGAAATTTAACCATTTACGTACCCTTATTGCACATAAAGTATGTATACGTGTATATATCCTGGTGTACGTAGTTCCGACGCACCTAAGATAAAATCGCTGTGCACCGAATCAAATTAAGGTGTCAACTGATAAATTACCATGGCAATTGAATTTTTATTCATTTTTCCATCTTTTACCTTTTTTCATTAGCTGCAAACTATCGTTAAAACAAACAAGTCAAAATATGTCAAGTGGTGATTTCCAATATGGAGGATAATTATGAGAGTATAGAGAAACGACGCATTTGATTGATTTCTATATTTAATCTTTCTAAAACGAAAGTGCACTTCCTTTTCACTGCGAGAATGATGCACAGCAATTTTGTAAACAGCACGAAACATTTTAAAAACAATCAGTTCACAGACAAGCATAAATATATATAAATATATGGCAGTTATAACAAGATTTGCAGTTTTTCATTCAAACATGCTTAACATTCATTACAGGTAAATAAAAACATCAACAGTTACATACATTTACCATTATTTACTGCTCTGGGGTGTAATCTTTACAAAAAATGGTCACCTCTTCGAACAACAGCAATATTTGTGCAATATTTCAAGTGTGTCCAGTGTCCACATTTGTCACACTGCACCCACTTAGTGAATACCAAAGAAACACTATTCCTGACTTCATCAGGAGTGAATTTGTTGCACACACAACATTTTTTCAGATTCATCAATAGAGTTATCACTACCTTCATCATCATCATCATCATCATCAACATTTGTAAAAACTTCAGTCTGCTTTCTGATGACAGAGGTACTAGGGACAGGGTCAGGTTTATTACTTTTCTTTTGTTTTTTACCTTTCTCTGATGCTTTTTTCCCTTTACCTGTACTAGATGGTTTGCGAGCAGCTTCATGTTCTTTAATTGCTTCAAACATATCATCCTCTGTTATTGCTTTACCACTCACAATTGTACTTAAATATTTTCTTTTCTTAGTAGGTGGCTTCTTACATGTCAGAAAGGTTTCTTTATTCGTGAAAAAAGAAGCAGGAGAGACAGTTTTAGATATAACAATGTCAGACTCGATGCATGGTTCATTGTTTAACTGGGTAGAAGGTTCGAATCCAGGCATGTTAGATGGTTCAAGTCCTGGCTGCACGGTTCTGACTGAGATTTCTCCTGCTGTAAAGCAGAGGAAGGAAAAAAGTGTGAAGGATTGACACCATGTTGGTTCAGAGGAAATATTCCTGACTTTCTGGAGGCAGACTGCAAGTTTTCGGGTGACAGTGCCTTTAAATAGGCACTGCACGACAACTGACACATGTCAAATTTTGTGATGGACCTTCCACATGTCTCCCTCATAAATTTGCGTCCGCACCTATTGAATTTTTTTTTCAAAAGGTCCGAAACAACCTAAATCCATGGGCTGAAGTACATGAGATCTATGAGCAGGAAAAATAAATAAAATAATGTGTTCTTGCCTTGCCTACTGAACAATATTCAGATTAATATGAGATCTATGCCCATCATAAAATAAAACAACTGGTCAAGATTCAGATCTTTCTGGAAAGTACTTTATCAGATGTGATTGAAGATTGCTCCAACCACTCTTTGATACAGTACCATTAGCTCCAGGAGTACTATCATTTAGCAATGCGGAATTCATTCGAACACCAGGAAATAGAAAGTATGGAGGTATTTGTTGACCTTGAGCATTACCACAACCTAACATGGTAACATTATCCCTACTGGCTGACACTACAGCTTTGGATTTTACTTGCCCAGAGACAACAGGTGGAGGCTTATGTCTAGTACTTTAGCCTTTTTTGTCAACATTATAAAGTCTCTCTGGACGGTCACAAAGATTATATTTAACAAGAATATGTGACAGTTCTTTATAATATCTATCTACGCATTCCTTTGACGTTCAAGGCCTCTTGAAGCAAGGATCTTCAGCTCTGGCCACCGAGACTTGAACAGTACAAACCAGCCAACAGATAAGGGTTCCCTGGTTTTCTATGACCCAAAGCAACAGCATACTCTGTGCTTATATCAATAACTTCCTTCCTGGAAATAAATTATTGTTTTTATATAATTGGCATCAATCAAAAAAAATAAGAATATTGATTATCAATTAAATTTATGACTTAATATTGAAACACATAAATTTAATAATATAAGATAATGTCAAAATACCATATCCAACAGAAGCAGTGAACTTTAGGTGTTCCACTAATAAGGCTTCCTCTTCCTGTGTAAATAAAGGTGGTGGTCCTGAACGATCAGACTCAGGATTGGTTCTTCCACTAAGTTTGTGTCTTAATGTAGCCTGTGGCAAACCATACTGACGAGCAGTTGTTCTTATTGGGGCCCATGTCTCCCTGCATTTTAAGTAAGCCTCTGTCATAGAAGTAGGAGAGTAATTCCTGACCTTGACTTTATGGGTCTGTAAAAATGAAATAAATAATAATATAGAAACTTAACAAAAATAGGTTAAGAGAATGCAAGCTTTAATATAAAGGCATTCTATAAATTCTCACAAAAATGAGCTAACGAGTACACCTTCTTATACAGTGAATTATATATATTTAGTGGTCACATTACTTGTCACATGACTGTCACGTGACTTTTCTAAAATAGTGAGGAGTGCGGTGTCGGCTGGTCTGGCTGTCATTTTTATTAATTTTCTGAAAACTACATTTTTAAAGTTAAACAAAATTAGTAATAAGAAAACAACATCATTTTTAAGTGTTTCACGTTAAAAAGAATGAAAAGAGTACCTCAAAATCCCTGACTCTCCACATTTTCTCTGCAAGAAATCACCGTACTGATTATAAACTAAAGTGCGTGAGAGTGACGTCATACGGAAACCCGAAATCGAAAACGAGGTCAAAACAAAAATGGCGTCGTATTTAAGATGCGTCGAAATTAAGTACAGGAGGATATAAAACTGCATATGTATCCAAACATTGAATGCAAGGGCCAAAAAATTGCGATTGATTAAAACGATGTGCAATGCCGTTATTAAGTAACGTAAATGTGCATTTTGAAAATACATAAGTGTTAAATTTATTTATAAACAAGGAGGGTGCCACTAATAGTTACTTAATTCTTGGTAAATCGTACGGACAATATCAGATACGATGAAATTGGAAATAAAATATTTAAGGCTTTTTGTTGTGAAAAAGAGAGAGATATTAAAGATTAATTTCTGTTTCATCAGGCATTTTATTGAAATTGTAAGTTCGATAAACGTTGTTTTTTCACGTTCCTTATTTCATTCAGCTAGTTGATGACACCACAGAAAGAAAAGCCAATTCTGTGAGTTACAATGATAATCTGTTCAAATTATCCATTGTATGCCATCTGTGAGTTTTAATGATAAACTCTCAAATAATCCATTGTAGGCCATCTGTTAGTTTTAGTGATAATCTGTTAAAAGAATCCATTTGTAGGCCATCTGCGAGTTTTAATGAAAAATGTTAAAAGAATTCATTTGCCGGCCATCTGTGAGTTACAATGATAATCTGTTCAAATAAACCATTGTAGGCCATCTGTGAGTTACAATGAAAATATGTTCAAAGAATCCATTTGCAGGCCCTCTGTGAGTTACAGTGATAATATGTTCAAAGAATCCATTTGCAGGCCATCTGTGAGTTACAATGGTAATCTGTTCAAAGAATCCATTTGTAGGCCATCTATGAGGTACACTGAAAATCTGTTCATAGAATCCATTGCAGGTCATCTGTGAGGTCATCTCATTCTCAATAAGAAACATAATCAATTTTCAGATACTTAGAATGGGAAAAGGCACAATGTATGGTATGGTAGTGGTTGAGACCCGAGAAATTGTAAAAGAAAGAGTGATCAGAAAGAGGTACCATTCGCTATGACTCTTATTTGTTGTGTATTTAAATTCATTGCTATATGTTTGGATCAGCATCTTTAAACGCAGTACCATCTGATGTTTGATCTTTTTCAAAACAATTTTGCTGTTCTGTCTTGACAATTTTTAGTTGATACAGAATTTGAGTTTGATTGTGTAGGAAGCTAATAAATCTGTTCCTGCAACAAACTAGTACCGAACAACGAATGTAATGATTGTTCCAGGAAACAATGGTTTATTCCTGATGGGGTTGGAATCCACGCATTTACCGATCCTTGGATTACTAGTCCGGCATATTAAACACACAGAGGCCACTTTTTACGAGCAGTAGTTAGTTAATTATATATATTTAACGATATACGTTCTATAAAAATTCATCAAAAAAAAATCTTCAATCAGGATTTTCAGATGTTTTTACATTTAAAACTTTTACCAATTAGAATGGGATTGATCATCATAAACTTTACTTGTCTGTAAGTCGAATATGATAGATGTTGAAATTAA